CATGTGCAGCGTTTACTAAAAGCTGCAGAAACCAAGCTGAAGAAGCTCAAAACACAACGGAGACCAGGGGACATTAAAGAAGGACGCACACAGCTGGGAGACCAGGGGACACTAAAGAGTGACGCACACAGCTGGGAGACCAGGGGACACTAAAGAGTGACGCACACAGCTGGGAGACCAGGGGACACTAAAGAGTGACGCACACAGCTGGGAGACCAGGGGACACTAAAGAGTGACGCACACAGCTGGGAGACCAGGGGACACTAAAGAGTGACGCAGACAGCTGGGACCGGAGACGTTCAGGATTATAAAGCTGAACAACTGTCTCAGAGTTAGTCGTCTCTTAACTGTCAGTCTTTGTCAGTAGGCCTATATCTGAAATGACTAGGTTAGCTACGCTAGCCTGCTAGCTTACAGCAGATCTGCAGTAACACCTCCTCCTCTTCCTCTTCCTCCTCCTCATCCTCATCTCCCCTGTTCTTCTGGAAGTTTCCACATGGGCGAGCAGTGGAAGTTAATGGTCCACAAACACTGTAATCAGGGTCTTTTCTGGGTCTAATTGTCAGATTTGTTTGGACCCCGTCTGTCGTCCCCCTCAGCCGTAGGAGTAATGAGGTGTTACGTGATATGATGTCCCCCTCCGGACACCACAACATTAAAGAAAAGGTCCTGGGAGCAGAAGCTAATGGACAGAAACGCAGATGTAAGGCATAAAGACGATCAGGGGGTTTGAGTCCAGAGAGAATCGAGCAGAGAGTAGACTTTGTTCCAGGACACAGATCGATGAAGCAAAAGGAACAGAACGTTGAAAGAGCTGACTCCTTTTACTAAACTCTATATTATGAAACACATTCTTTTCAAAGCCTCCTGTTCGTCAGTAACTTTCAAAACTTTCTACACAAAACCTGCAGGTAAAGAGGAGAAAGTGAACATCTTCAAATGTTATCATTTTTCATGTCTCTTCTACATCAACATGTGTCCCCTTTTCTCCATGTCTATTCTACATCAACATGTGTCCCCTCTTCTCCATGTCTCTTCTACATCAACATGTGTCCCCTCTTCTTCATGTCTCTTCTACATCAACATGTGTCCCCTCTGTGGAAAGAGACTCTGAAAGTTTCAGGAACAAAGATTCTCTCTCTTTTTGAGTTGATCAGATTTTGGTCCATTTTAATCCCTGCTAGAGAGGTGGTACTTTCCTAGGGAGAAAAAAGTACCAATTTCTGAAGTCTTTTTTTTTTGAAGTCCTTCCTTTTGTAAAAAATGTTGTTAAAAAGATCCCAGAATGCCTTATTTGATGTTGTAAAAAGTATGTAATAAACGTCACAGTATTGTCTGTTGTACATTAGCTGCCTCTCATCTCAACCCCAGAGTCTCTGTTTGGCTTCAGATTCCCCGTCAGTCGGATTTGGAAGAGATGCTCATCAGAAGCGTCTCCCGCTGTCAGATATCGTCACGCAGAGTTTTATATTGACGTCTTTACATCTCCTATAAAGAGTCATTTCTGCCAGTTGGTCATGCCAGATAATTAAAGTGGATATCAGTCTCTTTTATCCGACAGCTGTGCCGTCACTCTGAGAAGATTTTGTTCACTATCAAGAGACGTGAAATAAAGAGAGTTAATGCGTCTCCCGTCCAGCTGGAAATAGGAGATAAATCTGATTTAACTTCCTGGTGTCAGAGTCTCAACACATTATTACATAACATGACGGAGGAGAAGGATATTAAAGACACCGCTGAGGGAATATCTCAGAGACAATGCTGGGGGAAGTCAGGCTGGAAATCAACATTTTTCACAAGGAAATGTAAGAAATATATACATGCCTTTTTACAGTATAAGTTTGAGGTTATTTTGTACGACATACTGCATTGTGATTTGTATGACTTACAAAATCATATTATAGTACGTTGTCAAAGATAACCTTAAATATGTAATCGTATAGTATGTATACATATATATAAATGGGCAAATTGTAGTATGTTGTTAAAATACCGTAACATATGTCATATTATAATATGTCGAAAGAAATATCTTAAAAACAGTCATAGTATTTTGTAAAACATTGCATAAAAATGTAATTGTATGTCCTTACAATTTCATCAAATGTCTTAATAATTCAGTAAATACTTAATTGTAATAAATATCATGTAAAATGTGGAGTATTTTGAAATAGAAAATTACAAAAATGTATTTTGTAAGAAATATCATGAACAAATGTCATAAAACATGTCCCTGTTATCCTCTTAAGCCCCACGGACCCGGTTACGGGGCCAAAATCGCGTAATTTGCAGGAAACAACGTTAAGGAACCTTAATATTTAATAAACTATGAATATTTTATGTCCATATAACAGAAAAAAACTAATTGATCTTTTTCATTTTTTTTGCAAAAAATACAGAAAATGCTAACACTGACCCTCTGAATTAGCCCCGAGCGAAAAATGCTAACCTATTACTGCACCGAAAATCACTCCTAGCACCCTTAATACTTATCCTAGCTGCACATCCAACATATTGTTTATGATCGTAAGGAGACACAGAATCTATTGGTACCCACCTCAACACTCAAAGATTACAAATTCGCGGGAAAACATAACAAAAACCTACATCAAAACATGTGGCGCTAGGTAGCCAAAAACGCTAACATGGCTTCCCTCGGTCTTTGTCTGGTCAAAACTGGTCTTCAATGGCATTAAAACGATAAAAACAAGAGTGTAGTTAATCCATCGGTTAATCCAATGTGTCTGTGTCCCTTTGAAATGTTCTGATAATCCATAAGCAATAAAACTGCTTTTCCGTTTCCAGTTATCAGAGCAGGGATATTCCTACGCTCTGCAGAAAGATTGCATGCGCAGAGATGCCAGCAACATAACATGAGAGTCTATAGGACGATTTCCCTTCGATTCTATTGGCTCTAACGGTCAGGAAGAGATGTCACATGTCAAAATCGAGCAAGGGGGGCCAGAAATATGGAAAATCCACCCAAATGGCCCCAGAAGAGGGTTTTTTGCTAAATCTGTCTAAAAAGGTCAAATACCACTTGTTTTGCATCAATCTTGATACAGGTTATTATCTGTTGTACTTTGGATTCCTAAAGCTTTTAGTCTACTAAAAATATGTTGTACTTATAGTGAAAAAGAACCTTGGATGATGATCCAAGGTTAGTTTTCACTATAAGTACAAAATATTTTTTGGACGGACACTATAATTTACAGTTTTTTACCATGTTCAATCTGAATTTTTTTTAAATAAAAAACATCTATATTGATTCTGTCTTTTCTACATCCAACTCACAGGTTTATCATTACTTTGAGAAAAAAGATTATTTATTTAAACCTTTTAGAAGGGAAGATATGGTCATTTGTTTTGGGAATGTCATTTTCGAGCCTGAAACCTGAAAAACAGGCTTGGGGCCTAACAGGTTAAAGAGGCAATGGGAGGAAGAGCTGGGAATAACTATATCAGATACTATTTGGCAGACAGCAATTCGTTTGTCCACTCATCTTCAATGTGCTTAGACATGGGTGCTTACAATTTTAAGGGTTTTGCATAGGGGTTCATCAACCTGCAAGTAAACTGGCCAAGATTTTAACCCCACGGGCTAACCCAACCTGCATCCAGGCAGTCGCGCGCCCCGGCCAGCCCTAAGTCACATCGTTATGGCTCGCTCGCCAAACACGGCCCCTTTTGTGACTGGTCAATTTAAACCTTTTCGACAGGTACACGGCGGGGAGCACCCATTGACGGCATTATTTGGCGTGGGTCACACAGGAGACACGAAAACAACTGACTCAGCTGAGGATGTGGCTGTCTCGTACCATACTTGCTAGGCGCCTTGATGTCTTTTGTTCGAGAAGGCGTGCACACTGTCGCACAACGCGCTGGATAGAGGAACGTAATGTCCTCTTAAATTGAGCAGCTAAGCACTACCCGGCGGCTTATCGCAAAGTACTAACTGCAACCATATCCTATGCTTACTTTAGACGCATTCTCGGTAAACATTGAAATAGCGTTAGCCAACCCCCCCCCCCCCCCCCATTGTTTTATTCTTATTTTTTACTTTTACTTTTGTTATTTAACCATGTTAGTTTTTAATTCATTAATGTATTACGTTTACTTCTATATACCATATGTGTATCCTCTGGATGTTCAATATTATATTTTGGTCAATACTTTCGTTGAGGCTGTATTTTTAATGTGATGCTGCTGTGTTGTTATGTGTAAAAAATCCAATTTAAAAAATAAATAATAAAATAATACTTAGGCTTTAATTTTTTAGCTATTAACGCAAACAGATATGTTTGTATTGTAGTAGGAGTGTCAATTGATGTAACAGCTCGAGCGGTTGGAGTGAAAACATTAATCTTTACTTTTATAAGCCATGTATCCGGAATCGGATAAAATAAAACGAAGCAGTCCCTGATTTGGCAGAGGAAAAAAACGAAATCAATTTTATATTCAAGCACGAATGTCAACAGTAGATGGGAACGCTTGCAGATATAAGAAACATAGGTTGCCAGCGGCACCACAGTAGAGGAGTACGCGAAGTCCAAATGGACTCGAGGATGCCGATTTTCGGAAGAACAGTGCACTCGACCTCCGTGGCATGACTTGACCGCGACTCGACTCAAAGCGAATGATTGCGCTACGAATGACTTCGGACTCCGCGCGTGAATTTTCCCGCCACCATGACTCCGGACTCGACCTCGTAACAGGCTGGAACACAGCAGTCTTTATTACTTT